TATATTTATATTATATCCTTTATATATCTAATCATCCTCTATAAATCCTCTATTATTCATCCACGTAGCGTCGGTTAGTCGTCCATCGAAATTCTATGAACCATCTACTAGTGATCCACATAACGTCGATTAATCGTCTACTGAGGTTCGGCTAACCGTCTACTAATGATCTACGTAATGTTGATTAGTCGTCCAACAAAACTCCAAGATATTTCTATTAATGATCCACGTAATATCGATTAGTTGTCCACCGTAGTTCTGTGAACCGTCTATTAATAATCCACGTAACGTTTAATAAACATCCACGAAATTGTTTAAGAAACATCTAATAAACATGCGCAAGACGTATAATAGATTTCTGGTGGCAATTTCCAAATAGCATCACTGATTCTTTTGATTTCAAAAAGAATTCATTTTCTTGAGTTCTTTTCAAATTCGCGTAATCTGTTCAAAATGAAGTAAAAAAGAATTTCTTTTTAATAGTTAAAAAAGTATTCTATAAGTATATTTTTTGACTTCTTTTTGACTTTGAGTCGAAAATAAAAAATGTTTCTAGAAACGCCATAGAAACATTTATAAAACATTGGCTGCAGCACGCTAGCTGTTTGTATGTGTATACGATGCAATACAAACAGATATAATACAAACATGCTAAAGTAATAAAAGAACAAGCTTATTTGTATGTTTAACAAACTTACAAACAAACACGGCTAAATTAAAATTAAAGTCTTATTTCTAATAAAAATTATAAAAATGTAAAAAAAAACAATTTTATGTTATATTTCAGATATAAATAAATATATATATATAATAAATTAAGAGAATAATAAAATTAAAAAATGAAATTAAGAATGAAATTAAAAGAATAATTAATAAATTTAAATTTATTTGATTTTCAAAAAATAAAAAAATATATATCTTTAAATAAAAAATTATTTAAAGACATAATAATCTATAAAATGTTATATATTGCAAATTATCCGAATTTGTAGCATAATAATAACATATACTAAATAATAAAAATATATAATATATAACATAATATATACTGGAAAGAATAAATTCTTCGTATCGAAGTATCATTAGCTCAGCGTTAGTGTATAAGTTTGATGTTCTAGGGATCTCAGGTTCGAATCTCGATGTGTTTTCAAAAATTGTAAACCTGCGTATAAATTGTAATTAATAAAA